GATTTGCCGCTTCTCGTTTCCTTTTTTTTCATCCCACTTTCTGACACCAATTTGTTACGTCTCTGTTCGTTGGTTAATTTTCCGTAAATTCGTTCCGACGAAACTTTAGCAACACAAGTCCTTTCTTAAATAAAACTGGTTTATTCTTTCTGAATATAATTTTGCGATACACTTATATTCAACAGTCGCCCTATAACAAACGTCTCACGTGCTCGAGTTCAATTACACACTCTCTGACTGCAGTTCAATTACTCATTACTTCGTCACGTTGTGACCATCTTATATATACCAGACTACCCCCAATCTAGTAGTCTCCCGATGATTCACGAAGGTTCGAGAGAAGGACGTGGCGTGATACTAGTCACGTGATCTCGCTGACGCAACAATGGTTAATATTTATGTTTGTCGGTTTATTTGTTTGATTTCGTGCAAAGATACTCAAAGACTGAGTTAGCTGTACTAACTATCTTGTTCAATATTTATAAAAATGATACATTATGTATGATAAAATCCTTTCAGAGCAGATAATTGTAAAAGTATGAAAAGTAAATCGTTGGCTATGATATTTTCCTCGTTCAAATACTATTAGGTCGTCAAGAAATTAATAACGCGTTTTGGAACACTTTCATTTACCACCCCCCAAAAAACGTACATCAGGTATAATAGTTAAATGAACCGCCTAAACGTCACGTTAATGTAGCCTACATAATGTGTAAAGTTTAATATACTATAATCCCTTATAGTGATGACACACGACGAGACACACATTCGGCATGTAATGTTGTTTGAATACAAGAAGGGGAAACAACGCCTCTGTAGCCACAAATAATATTAAAGAAGTTTATGGAAATGTTTTGAACGTTCGTGAGTGTCAACGATGGTTCAGCAAATTTCGTTCAGGTGACTAAATTCACCTTAAAAACTGTGATGGCACCAGCCGACATGTTGGAATTGATATTGATGCTTTGAAGACTTGATGAGTCTAACCCAAGCCAAAATACTCATAAAATGGCCCTGAAATTGCATGTCTCTCAAGAAGCAATACGTAAACATCTAAGGAGTATAGTATAAAGAAGGTGTTTGGGTGCCTCACGAAATCTCCAATGATCATCGTTTCCAACGTGTGAACGTTGCTTCGTCTCTTATGGCGCGTAATGCGCGTGAACCATTTTTGGACAGAACTGACACAGGTGATGAAAAATGGATTCTCTGTGCGAATATTAAACGCCAAAAACAATGACTCAGTCCTAGACAAAAACCACTTCCGACCACAAAATCTGGACTTTATCCGCAGAAAGTGATGCTTTGCGTTTGGTGGGACATTAAAGGAGTAATTCATTTCGAACTCCTCAATCCACAACGAACAATGCAGAGATCTATAGACAGCAACTGGAACGTTTAAATCAAGTCCTTCATCAGAAACGCCCTTCACTCGTCAATCGAAAAGG